AGGTACTTCAGGAGCCTGATCGAGACGGTGCGCAGCACATCGCCCGCGACAACGATCATTGTGTCAGGACCACTTCCCATGTATCGACGAGGAAACGAAAGGTTCAGTAGACTTTTTGCTTTAAACGAATGGATATTGTCATGGTGTAAAGAAGGACAGCAGCCTATAAATACTGCTGCTGTCATTAATGATCATCAAACAACAAAACAGCTGTGATAAAAATCTATATTTAATTTATATAGTGAACACTATGCAGTGTTATTTTCCCTATTTATTACATTTCTGTATTTGAATACTACCAACCTTATTTTATTTGTAACATATTCTGTTGTATTTATCTATGCTTGTAATGTGTATTTCTTCTTATTTTTACTGGCTGTTCTCTTGTCTCTTTAATCATGTTTAAACTTTCTTAGTTAATCTAGTAGTATTTGCCGTGGTATCAAAGTAATACTTCGCTTTAAGTAATAAATGGAAAGTAAGTTAAATTGAAATATAAAAATTTTCTTGCTGATCTGAAAAATGATCCGATCCGTGGGTCAAAAACCGTAACGTGATCCGAACCGTGAGATTTGTGATCCGTTGAACCACTAAAATCAGCAAAAATCGGTATCGGCAGATAACACTAACAAAAAATTGGAAATCGGAATCGGCTAAGAAAATTGCAATCGGTGCATCTCGGAATCTTTTCTGGGAGCGTCCTAGGCTTTTTCGCACTGATGGCCTGCACCCCAGCAGAGTCGGAGCGGAACTCCTGTCGGACAACATCTCCAGGATGCTACGCTCCATATGAATAGTAAGCCAATTCTCAAATAACTGCTATGATGGCTTTTGTTCTACCCACTTAAATGATAGAAGTACTTGCACTGTCCAATCTATAAAGACTGTCTGTTCCCCGAATAGTGAGGTCAAAATATAAATTTAATGCAGGATCTAGAAAAAATCTGATCATGATTAAACCAGAAAATTGCTAAATAAATGAACAAAAACAATTTTTAAAGTTTGGGCTTCTAAACATTAGATCACTCGCACCCAAAGCAGTTATTGTAAATTAAATGATCACAGATAATAGATTTGATGTACTCTGCTTGACTGAAACCTGGCTAAAACCAAACGATTATATTGGTCTAAATTAGAGATGCACCGATTGATCGGCCAGGGATCGGAATCGGACGATTTTCCTCATGATTGGCCCGGATCGGTGATCGGCCGGTCAGTCTCACTTCTTTCTGATTCAGAGCCGATCCGTTTCATTACCAGCGGCACAGGGAATAACGTCAGCCGCGCATTCTCGCTCTCTTCTCTCCGATGACCCCTTCTCTCTCACACACACGTCTCATTCGCTCCGGTTAAATAGTGCTTGTATTGCACATTATTTTAGTCATTCCCGCATGTTTCTCACTTACACCAAAAGCGTGCACCACCACTGATCTCTAAATGAGTCTACTCCACCAAGCTACTGTTATAAGCATGAGCCCCGTCAGACTGGTCGTGGCGGCGGTGTTGCAACAATATGTAGTGATATTCTCAATGTTACTCAGAAAACAGAATACAGGTTTAACTCATTCTAAATACTTCTGCTTAATGTTACACTGTCAGATATGCAAAATAAATCTATCGTATCTCTTGCTCTGGCTACTGTGTATAGACCACCAAGGCCACATACAGATTTCCTAAAAGAATTTGCAGATTTCCTCTCAGACCTATTGGTAAATGTTGATAAAGTGCTAATTGTTGTAGATTTTAACATTCACATTGATAATACTAATGATGCATTAGAACTTGCGTTTACTGACCTAATAAACTCTTTTGGAGTCAAGCAAAATGTCACCGGGCCCACTCATCGTTTTAATCATACGCTAGATTTAATTATATCGCATGGAATCGATCTTACTGATATAGATATTGTACCT